GGGGTGGGCGGGGCGGGTCCGCTGCGTGGGGCCCCGGGCCGGGCTGGGCACGCGCTGGCGCAGACCTCCGGGCCACCTGAACGCAGCGGTACGGGTGGCGGGGTTCTGCCGTGGTCTCCTCCGTCCTAACTGCATCTCTCGCTGCCTCTCTCCGTGGCCTCCGCGCCGTGGTGTCGTCTCCGCCCTCGCTGCGCAGATGTTTCCCGGGCCGTGGAGCTCCTCGAGCGGCTCCAGCGCAGCGGGGAGCTGCCTCCGCAGAAGCTGCAGGCTCTCCAGCGAGTTCTGCAGAGCCGCTTCTGCTCCGCCATCCGCGAGGTGAGCCCGGACTACGCCTCCCGGCAGCGCCCGAGCCGCTTGCGCAGGGGGCAGCGCCGCAGCCCAGCCCGGGGCTCTGTGGGAGTTGTAGTCCCCGGGCGCGGGGGCGGGGCGGACCCTTGGGGAGCGGGGGCGGGGGCGGGGGCGGGGGCGGGGGCGGGAGGAGACCACAGGGGCGACTGTGTCTTAAGAGAGCAGGAAAGTGGCGGCTCCCCGACACTGCTGGGCCCTCTGCAGGTGTATGAGCAGCTCTATGACACGCTAGACATCACGGGCAGTGCAGAGATCCGGGCTCATGCCACGGCCAAGGTAGGCACCCCCGCCCTCCCAGCCCAGGCAGTCCTATGTCCCCCTTCATGATTTTTTTTTTTTACCAGAACTACAAAAACCCTTATAAGTCTTTATTTATAACTTCCTTTAAATAACCACACATTTTAAACTGAAATGTCACATAATAGGTGAATGGAAATCAACATCTCAGGACTGTCTAGAAAATAATCGTAAATGTCTATACAACAGACTGTCCTAAGGAACTCTTACTGCACTGCACTTAGATGCTGTTTCTTGTCACTGCCTGGTGGCTCTCAGTTCCCTCCAGGCTTAGTTTCCATCTGTAAAGAAAGAAAGATTAGGCTGTGTGGTGGCACATCCTTGTAATCCCATTACAGTTCGAGGCTGAGGCAGGAGGATCCCAAGTGTGACTCCAGCTTGGGCAATTTAGCAAGACCCACTCTCAAAATAAAAAAGGCTCTCAGTTTAATTCCCAGTACCTAACAAAAACAAAAAAGACTGAGCAGCAGAGTGTGACCCTGAGCTTGGGAAAAGCGCTCTGGCTCAGCTTCCTCTCCCTGCCGACCCCTGCCCCATCCTGCATGCTCACTGTGGAAGGGCCCTCGCCACCGCACACTTCCTCTCTGCCAGGCCACAGTGGCTGCCTTCACAGCCAGTGAGGGTCACGCACATCCCAGGGTGGTGGAGCTGCCCAAGACGGACGAAGGCTTGGGCTTCAACATCATGGGAGGCAAAGAGCAGAACTCACCCATCTACATCTCTCGAGTCATCCCCGGAGGTGTGGCGGACCGGCATGGAGGCCTCAAGCGTGGGGACCAGCTGCTGTCGGTGAACGGTGTGGTGAGTGGGGGGCTGGGCAGAGCCAGGGTGATGGTCTGTTGTGCAAACCCTGATGGTGACATCCATTCAACAGTGACTGAGCACTGTTCAGTGGCCAGCCCTGTACTGTGTAGGGCTTCACACTCTTGAGACTCAGGGGGTCCCCTCCCTGGTCTGAATGAACTAGTTGTAACTCAGAGACATACTGAAGAAGCACAGAGCATTGTGAGAATCCCGATGTGGCTCCAGCCCAGCATAGATGAGGGAAGTGTTTGCAGAAGAAACATTTGAGCTGGGTGTTGAAGGATGAATAGGAGTTCTGCAAGCAAACCAAGTGAAGAGTGTTCCTGGCTGCAGGCATTGTAGACAGGGACTAACTCAGTGCTCCTCTGATGGGGTTCAATTCTGATGGAGATCTGGGACATGCAGCTAATTAAAACTATGTGGTTAGAGTAGAAAGCAGCATAACTGCAAGGTGGTTTGGGCCACTCCTGTAGGGCTTAAGTGCCAGCCTGAGAAGCCACAGGAAGGCTGGGAGCAGGGAAGGGACCGCCCTGCCTGGGGTTGTAGAAGGAGCCCTCTGGGAGGGGGATGATGTGGGGAGGCCAGAGAAAAAGAGTCCAGAAGGGGGAGGACACAGCCTGAGCCAGGCCAGAGCTGTGGGGCCCAAGAAAGGGACCAAGGTGGGAGGGGACCAACGGGCTGTTGGAGAGAGAGGACAGGATAGGCTCAGCAAGCGACTCCCACGAGGAGGCCACAAGGCACGGGCTCCCGCCTGGCCTGGCACCAGGTTCCCCAGCGGCCGGCTCTCTGGCGGTGCGGCCCCAGCCAGCTGTGCACCGGCCTGCCCTGCAGAGCGTGGAGGGCGAGCAGCATGAGAAGGCGGTGGAGCTGCTGAAGGCGGCCCAGGGCTCCGTGAAGCTGGTGGTGCGGTACACGCCCCGAGTGCTGGAGGAGATGGAGGCCCGCTTCGAGAAGATGCGCTCCGCCCGCCGGCGCCAGCAGCACCAGAGCTACTCGTGAGCCCCTGGTCACCCGCCCCACAGGCCTCTGCCGCCTCCCCTCAGGCCAGCAGTGATCCCAGGGCAATCCCTGCCCACCCAGCCCTGGCTTGTGCCTGTCCTTGGGCATTCTGGCCCTTGACCTCTCCTGTTGTGGCCACATTCCCTGGGAGCGCCGGCTCCCTTTATCCCCTCATCTGGAACCTCCTCCTAGCGTCACCCCACCCACCTCCCTGGGCCCAGACCTCAGCCCTTGTTCTCTGGTGCCCCCCTCTGCGCCCTTCCTGAGCCTGCTGCCCTCTCTATCCCCACCCCGCAGGTCCTTGGAATCTCGAGGCTGAAACCACAGACCTGGACCCACACCTGTCCCCTGTACAGTATTTATTGTCACCGGCACCTTATTTAAAGATCTTTGACCCTCCCTGAGTGTCTGTGTGTCTGTCTCGCGGTTACAGCATCTTGACGTGCCGGGCTTGGGGGAGCTGAGGTCAACACCGAGCCCTAATGCCTTTTTCAAAGTCAGAGCAGAGGCAGCGCCCTCTCCTCCCCGCAGGTCTGAAGGTGGAGCCCGCCTAGGTTTCTAGGGGCAAGTCCGAGGTGGAGGCCGGGACCCTGTCTGGGTCTGGGTGCAGGGGCACTAAAGACAACGCCCCCTACCCTTAAGAGGGTCGGAACCCGGCACGGCCCCTTCCTCCGCATTTGGTCTGACCAAGAAGTCCTGAGCCCCAGCAGCAGCCAGTGGGCGGCCTCTGTGTGGGCGGGGCGGAGCGAACCATTAGCCTCGTCCGCCAGGGGAGCCCTGAAGGCCGCACGACCGTCTGCGTGGGAGTCGGGGTGGGGGTGCCGCGTGCAGTTCCCGAGGCGGGCGCAGGGGTACAGAAAAAGGTGCATTCACCCATTGGGCACTCACCCCACCTTCCAACCAAAGCACGTCTTTCCGGGAGCCGCCCTTTCCTTAAAATCCATCCCGCTTTATCCCCATCCCGCTGCCCGCCCAGCCCTCACGTCCCGCGCAGCTCGAGGCGCGCGCCACCGCCGGGATCTGGGGTCGAGAGTCGCGGTCCACGCCGCGAGATACTAGCTCCAGGTGACATCATCCCCCAGCCGGGCTCCGCCCCCAGCCCCAGCGGCCGCACGCCGTGCGTCTATTGGCCGACGCACCTTGAGCCCCGCCCCCCGCTCTCCGCCCGCGCGGCCCCTCCCTATCCGTGCAGAGGCGGGGTCTAGTCGCCGGCCGGTGCCGACACCGCCTCTCATTGGCCACTCGGCACCGTCTGTCAGTCTCCTGTTAAAGGGGCCACGACCGCCTGGGAGCTGTGGGGGGGTGGGGGAGGGTGGAAGAAATTTGGGGGGGAGGTGGGATTTGGGGGGCGCTGGTGGGCACCCCTGGATCTGGCGGCTGCGGCCTCGCGGGGGGAGACTTAACGGCGACAGGGGCTAGGGGCTATTTTAGGGGGTAGAGGGTTGTGAGGCTGTGAGGGGGAGGGGGGTCCCCAGCGCCCAAACCGGAGTAGGAGACGCTGAGCCCGCGCGAGCGGCGGAGACAGGGCTCCAGAGATCGAGAGCCGGGCCCCGGCCGCCGCCAGGGGCCCCGCCCGGTCCCCCCACCCCACCCCACGTCCCTTCTGCAGCCCAGCTCCGCCCGCAGCCGCCGCGGACCAGGTAGGTAAGCGCCCGGCCCAGCCCGCCCGGCAGCGCCCACCCTGGGGACCCTGGGCGAGACTCCCCCGCCTCCCGGAGATCCTGGTTTCCCGAGCTCATCCCCCGGGACCCTGGAGCCCAGATTCCACAGCCAGACCCCGGAGACTCAGCGTCCCCTTCCTGGCGCCCAGAGTCCCCAGTCGAACCCTGGAATCCCGGGCGTGCTGCCTCCCTGCGCCTCCTCCGAGGCCCAGGAGCCTGGATTTCCCCATCCAGCCGCTGGACCCCCGAGCCTTGGTCCTTCTGCTCCCCAGTCCCGGGTGCCCCGGGCGCCAGCCGCGACTGTCAGGCTCCTCCGAGCGCCGGCCTTGCCCCCATCCGCACCCCCGTCCGGGTCTCCAGCCTCGGTTGCATCCCTCGGCCAGGCCGGCTGCCGGCCGCTCTGGGCACCGGCCCGCTCCGGAGCTGTCCATGGTCAGCGCACCCGGCAGCCTAGCTCCCCCACCCTATGCCGCTGCCGCCAGGGAGGGGGCGCAGACGGCGAGGGGGGGACACCCCCCGCCGCGCCGGTGACCCGGGGATACCCGGGCCCTCCCCGACCCGGGCCGCAGGATCCTGCTGGCCAAACTCTCGGCCTCGTCCCCAGCACCCCAGGTTTCCGGGACCCTAGGTGCTCCCTAAGGAGCCAAGGCTACTGAATGTTCCTGCCCTGTCCACCTCAGGGACGTTGGCACCTGGCACCCAGCTCCCACCCGGTTCTGGAAGGCAGTCAGTGCTCACCCATCTGTCGGACCAGGCTGACAGGTCCTAGGAATCGGGTGTCCCAGCTTTCGGCCTCCCCTACCCCCAGCACCTACTTGAACAGCCCCGTGCCCCTCAGACGAACCCACTCAGCCTCCTGGCACCCAGCATCTGCTCCTTTAGGAACTCAAGCGCCATGACTCGCTTCCTTGCAGGATCTGAAATGTAATTCCTCCGCTTCTGTCCACCCTCCCTGCTTGGCGACCTAAGCGTCTGGTCCACAGTCCCACATCCCTACAGGACGCCGGAGCTCAGAACCCAGCTTGTGTACTGCCCATCAGCCTTTTCCCAGACCAACTGCCCCAGCTCTCCCTCCCCGAAACACTCAGGCTCTAAGCTTGAACTTCTGGCCTTCCATCTCCACAAGGGTTCAGGAGCCAGAACCCCCTCCCCGCCTGCCTCTAGCTTCTCAGAGTGAACTTTTAGGGACCTAGATCCTCATGGCTGCTTGGCAAATTCACATCTCCTGTGGCATTGACAACCCCATCTCTCATCCTCATAGCCTGTCAGACACTAGGCTTCTGGAATCCACTCTCCTCTCTCCCCTAACGTCCCAATTCTTTTTTTTTTTTTTTTTTTTTTTTTTTTTTTTTTTTTTAGAGACAGGGTCTCGCTGTGCAGTTCAGCCTGGCCTTGAGCTCACTTTGTAGCCCAGGCTGGTCTCAAACTCGCAACAATCCTCCTGCCTCAGCCTCCCAAGTGCTGGGATTACAGGTGTGTGCCCCATGCCCGGCAAAGACCCCGATTCTTGAGATGTTTCCAGCACTATGTTGCCTGTGAGCCCCATGTCCTGATGTCACCTGAGGACACTTTCTCAGGCCAGTGAACCCATCACCCATCCCTTCCCCAGATGGATTCTGAGGTCTACCAGGCTCACCAGGTGATCTAGAAGCTTCCTACAGGCTTCCACATTTCTAGTCACTTGGTGCCTTCAAACTGCTCCATGTTCTAGAGTCCTTCTAAGCCCTAGAACCCACCTAGGTGACCTCTCTGTTCTGTTTTCACCCAGGGCACAACTGAAGTTCTATACCAGCTGTTAAATCCTAGTCATCTTTTTCCATTATCCTTTTCAAATGTCTAGATAATGTCCCCAAGCCAAATCCTCTCCACAGACCTGTTCCAAATTTCTAGCAACCATGTCTTACTTAGTCTCTGCTAAATTTCCATTTTAGATGTGTCCACATCTTAACATTCTAGATTGAATTCTCTTCCCAGGCAACATGCTAACTTCTACAAAGAGTCTGTTCTATTATGTGCTCTAGCCTTCCTCCAATGTGTGGTATGGATTCAAAAAGTAATTTCTTTGCTTTATGCTTCATCTTACTTTACAATCTTAAATCTAGAAGATTGTCCACAAAGTGTTCTACATTTCATTTTTCTTCCTCAGGTTCTAGGTTCTAGGCCCATCTGTGGCCACCTTCTTTCTCTGTGCTTTTTCTGCTGTGGCCTTAGTGTAGAACTTCTTGCCTGGCGTACTGTGGACTTCTCCTCCATCTGCCACTTTGGCATCCTAAGCATGTTCTAGGCTCTCTCCTCCTCCAGAGTCTTCAGCTTAGAATGTTCTCATTTCCAGAACACGCCTCTCCCTTGCCAGTTCAGTCTTGATCTCAGGAAATTCTTTTTTTGTTTTGTTTTCTAAAGACAGGATCTTGCTATGTTGTTCAGGCTGGCCTTGAACTCACTGTGTAGCCCAGGCTAGCCTTGGACTTGTGACAATCCTCCTGCCTCAGCCTCCCAAGTGCTGGATTTACAGGCATGCACCATTATGCCTGGCTGTCAGGAAATTCTTAATTATTGCTTACTCTTACCTCAATTCTTCATTTTCCTCCAGGTACTTCCAAGGGAACTTCTTGTTACTGTCTTTGTTTTTCTTCATACCTATGGCATGTTCTGAATTCTAGAGCACATTTTTTTTTTCAGTGTGAGGGATTGAACCTATCGCCTTGGATATTCTAGGCAATTATTCCACTGAGCTAAACCTCAGTCCCAGAGAACATCTTTTGTTTTCTGATTCTACAAGTAATTCATCTTGGTTAGTTTGTCCTCTACGCTGCACCCCTGCCACATGCTGGAGATTGAAGTAAGGGCTGGGTGAATGCTAGGCATGTGTTCTACCGCTGAGCTTGTCTTTTGATCAAACCAAGAATGTGGCCCCTGTTTTATTCTGTATTAATCTCTTGGTCCCTTGTGGATTCTGAGTTCTAGGTTACATCTCATTAGTCTTGCTATGTGTTGCAGTCATGTGTTCCATGGTACCATGATGACCCTCTCTGTGTTTGGGGTGCTGGGATGGCCCAGACACTCTAAGTTATGGGGCTGCTTTTGGCTGGTTCTAAGTTCCCAACCTCGGTTCTAGACTGTGTTCCTCTCCCTAGCCTAATGTGTAGATTTTACCCCGCACACACAGCAAACGTGGAAGCGTGGCTTCTTTCTGCCTCCAGCCATATCTTTACGTCTTCGGCAACCTAGACCTATGCCTAGCCTTGTGTTCTGTGCCCAGAATAAATCTAAGGAGCCTCCTGAAAACATCGTATCTTCTGAGCAGGTTGTGGGTTTGAAATGTGGGTTTTGGCCTATGCTGGCCTGCTTTCCAGAAACTTTCCTGAGTCATTTCTGACTGCTGGGATTCAGGGGTCTGAATGCACCACTCCAAAGACCCAAGGGTGCAGGCTCACGGCCGCCTCCTCTCCCAGGTCCCAGAGTCCTCCCAGGAGTCCAGGGCCCCAGTTGCAGGCTGTGGGCACAATCTGCAAGTTGGGCGGGGTTGAGAATTATCCTCTCTCAAACCGGTTATGCTGCTGCTCCTGGGGAGGACGGAAAGGAACAAGTGAAAGTCCCTCCCGCTTTCGGCCGGGCCAGCCGGACCTGTCGGGCCTGAAGTGTACCAGGGAGCGGCTCAGAGGACCTCGCTCCATCCCAGCGCGGTCTCAGGCTCCAGGGACCCAAGCCCCGCCTTCCCGTCCCCAGAAACCCCGCCTCTTCCTCGTCACCACCCTCGGTTAACCTCACGGGGGCTGCAGGAGCACCCCAAACTCCCGGATCCGGCAGAAGGAGCAAGCACTCCTAGGACCCTTAGTGGGGAGAGGAAGCGTCTGAGGCTGGGATTTCTGCTCTAAGGAAAGAGGCTGGGAGCCTCAGGAGAGAAGGGGGTGTGGTCTCTGACGCCGGGGTTGGGGAGCAGGGGGTTGGAGGCTTGGACTCCTAGGGGATGAGAAGTACTGGGCAGGAAGGGGGCGCTAGACTTCTGTGAGGTGAGGAAAGCGGGAGCTAGAGCTGGGACTCCGGGGCCTTGAAGAGGGAGAGACTAGCACAGCCCCGCCCCTTGCCATGCTTTCTACTTTTATTTTTTCAAATGGGCTGCCAGGGTCTGGCTATCGGAAATTGAAGGAGGCAGAACAACTTGGGTTGGACAGTGGGCGGGGATCCTCCCTATGTTGTTGTTATTACAGGTGGTCTTGTTCTGTGGCCCCAGCCCTGTTGCTTTCTTTCTTTCTTTCTTTCTTTCTTTTTTTCTTTTTTCTTTTCTTTTTTTTTTTTTTTCCGGTACCGGGAATCAAACTCACGACCTTGCGCTTGCCAGGCAGGCTCTGTGCCGCTGAGCTAAATCCCCAGCCCCTAGGGGTAGAATCTGAGGGCATTTCTTTCTGTCACTTAAGTGCTTCTTTTTTTTTTTTTTTTTTTGCCTCTTTTGAGTCAGGGTCTCAGTATGCAGTTCAGGCTGGCTTGAGCTCACTTTGTAGCCCAGGCTGTTCTCGAACGCCCAGCGATCCTCCCGAGCGCTGGGATTACAGGCATGCGCCACCACGCCCGGCCCCTGTTGCTTTCTGAAAGGGGTGGTTCTGCTTGGGGGCTCAGTTTGCCACCTGTGCGGGGAGGGGGTTGTGAGGATTCTCAGCAGTCAGAATGGGTACAGACTGAGTCTTCTACATTCACTTGGGTAACGCCTGGGTCACCAGCGTCAGATTCTCTTTTAAATTTTTTTTTTTTCGGTACGGGGAATCGAACTCACGACCTTGCTCTTGCCAGGCAGGAGCTGTGCCTCTGAGCTAAATCCCCAGCCCCTCTCTTTTTATTTTATTTTATTTATTGTCAGTTTCTCATAGTGGGCCAGGTTTGTTGTCTGCCTGGTGAGGCCTGGCCTCAGTTTCCCTAAATGCTCTCACCCATGTGGCCAGGGCTGTTTTTCTGACAGCACAGGGTTTCAGCTTATCCTGTGACGGGCTTACAATGGACAAGACTGTTTCCCCTGAAGCGCCTGCTGGCCAGCCCTTAGGCTCCTTGAAGGAGTCCCTGGTGTTGGTGCCTCAGTTTCCCTATGTCATGATCAGAGTGGCTGGGTCTCAGTTTCTCAGGTGCAGTGTCTGGCTCCGCGCACCTCAGTTTCCCCCAGGGAGTATCCCAGTGGCGGTGCTTCGGCCGGCTGCCTGTACCCTGACCGGGCTGCTTTCTGGCCTCTGCCCCTTTCCCACACCCGCAGGCCGGCACCGCCGCCATGATGTGCGAGGTGATGCCCACCATCAGCGAGGATGGCCGGCGGGGCTCGGCGCTGGGCCCGGACGAGGCGGGCGGCGAGCTGGAGCGCCTCATGGTCACCATGCTCACGGAGCGCGAGCGCCTGCTCGAGACGCTGCGCGAGGCGCAGGACGGGCTGGCGACGGCGCAGCTGCGGCTGCGCGAGCTGGGCCACGAAAAGGACTCGCTGCAGCGCCAGCTCAGCATCGCGCTGCCCCAGGTTTGGGCGGGGCCGGGCCGGGGCCTCCGTGGGGAGGGCGGGGCTTAGTCCTTGGAAGGGAGGAGTCTGGGAGAGGCAGGTTTGGATGGGCGGAGCCTGAACGACAAGAAGGGGCGGGGCTTAGCCCTGAACTGACGGGGACAGGGAAAGGATCTATCCGATTGTCCTGATCCTGCCCACGTCTGGACAGGAGTTCGCGACTCTGACGAAGGAGGTGAACTTATGTCGGGAGCAGCTGATGGAGAGGGAGGAAGAGATTGCAGAGCTGAAGGCAGAGCGGAACAACACACGGGTGAGGGGCGTAGGGCGTGGCCTAATCAGGGTGGGCGGGGCCTCACTGTTTCAGGCTGACCCATCTCCCCACATCTTGTTTTCCTGTCTTCTTCCCGGCTCCCACTTCCAGGTTAGCCACCTTTTCTGTTACCCCTCCTTCTTCTATGTCTCCTCTCTGATCTCTATAACTTTTTCTTATTCTTGCCCGTCCCTTCCTTGATTCTGCCTGTACTATCCCTTTTTTCCTGACATTTCTCTCTACTTGCCTTGTGCTTGGCGCCACCTCTTCCTGCACCAGTCCTCCCCACTTGTCACCCCTCCCTCAACCCTGCCCCTTCCCTGTTGCCTTTTTTTTTTTTTTTTTTTGTCTTTTTGAGACGGTGTTTCACAATGCAGTTCAGGCTGGCCTTGAACTCACATTGTAGCGCAGGCTGGCCTCAAACACGCAGCAATTCTCCTGACTCAGCCTCCCGAGCGGTGGGCCTGCCTCTTTTCCTTGACTTGGTGTCTTATCCCTGTAGCTCCTCCTGGAACATCTGGAGTGCCTGGTGTCCAGGCACGAAAGGTCATTGCGCATGACAGTGGTGAAGCGCCAGGCCCAGTCCCCCGGCGGGGTCTCCTCCGAGGTGGAGGTGCTCAAGGCGCTCAAGTCTCTCTTCGAGCACCACAAGGCCCTGGATGAGAAGGTATGAGAATCGGAAGAGCCAGGATGAAGAACAGAAACTCTGGTTGATGGGGGCCGTCCAGAGTAGGCGAGATTCTGGCTGCGATTTGCTGGGAATGTCCTAAGTGGGAGGAGATTTATTGTGACCGATTGTGACAGGCTTCACGGTCCGTGACCCGAATGGTTGATAATATAAAGACACTGTAAAATGGGGTGCTCAAGAGAGGGCTGCCAGGAGGGGAGGCTGCCTGGCACCTGGTGGGGGCTACACACTCATTTAGAGAGGAACTCTTATCTTGCCCTATCGGGCGAGTCCCAGGGAGGTGGGGCTCGGGCCAACCTCAACTGTCCTAGATTGGGTCTGGTCTCCATCCCATTCCAGTACTCCATCTCCCATCCCCAGGTCCGGGAGCGGCTTCGGATAGCCCTGGAGCGAGTGGCAGTGCTGGAGGAAGAGCTGGAGCTGAACCATCAGGAGGTGGGGAAATGGCGTGGAAGGGAGGTGGACTCCTTGGGGCGGAACTTAGAAACTACCAATAAGGGGCTGGGGATTTAGCTCAGCGGCAAAGCACCTGCCTGGCAAGCGCAAGGTCGTGGGTTCGGTTCCCGGTACCGGAGAAAAACAAAAAAAAAAAAAAAAAAAGAAACTACCAATGGTCGGAGCTGACGGCAGAAACCCAATGGGGCCGCACCACTGAAAGAAACCCGCGGGGGTTTCTAGGGAAGACTGTATTGGGCAGGGTTTGGGGGAGACCCTTCCAGTGAGTGAGACTAAGGGGAAAACGAGTCTGGGGCTCACACTGGGATTAAGGAAAACATGCCTAAATGGGGAAAGGCAGGAATAAAGAGGAAACGTTCACCTTCCTGTGGGTAGTAGAACAGGGGTTCCCAGAGCCTTTTGTTCTGACCCTCGTCTCCTCTCCCAGACTCTGAACCTCCGAGACCAGCTGTCTAGGCGGAGGTCGGGGCTGGAAGAACCGGGGAAGGATGGAGACGGGCAGGTGAGAGGTGAAAGACTCCTTGTGCGACGCCTCCAAATTCCCTGGCTTTGTGATGGTCACTTGTGTCTGCCATGGTCCTCACTGACCCTAGGCCATGTGAACTGCTAGCACCCTTTCTGGCTTTCGACCATTGATTTGGGTCATCTTGCTAACTTCTGTGACCTTCGGTGACCCCGGTGGACTCTGATCTGCTTCCTTAATGATCTTGGATCCTCAGCCTCCCCCGCACCTCCACGATCAGGCTTCTCCTGGTATTCCCGCTACATCTCTGTGTTCCCTGCTCTGACTTCTGTGTCCTTCTCTCTTGCTCCAGACCCTTGCCAATGGCCTGGGTCCTGCTGGGGACTCCAGCCGCCGCACCGCAGAGCTGGAGGACGCCCTGGAGCGGCAGCGCGGGGAGATGTGCCAGCTGCGAGAGCGCCTGGCCGTGCTGTGCCGTCAGATGAGCCAGCTGGAGGAGGAACTGGGCACTGCTCACCGAGAGCTGGGCAAGGCCGAGGAGGCCAACTCCAAGCTGCAGCGTGACCTCAAGGAGGTGAGGCGGGAGCCCCTGCTTCTCTGCCCTTTGCCCTCCCTCCTCTCAGCCTTCTTGTCCCCTTTGGCCAAAGTCATTGAGCTGAATGGTGGAACCCGGATGCAGTTGTCAAACTGCGTGGACTCTCCTGTCTGAGCTTGGAAAATGGCCTGTGGCCCTTTCAGAGGCTGACGTGTGCACAAAGTACGCTTCAGTGACTGCCTGGCTATTGTGTTAGTGTGAGGCATCTTGTGCTCCTGAAGCTGTGATTGTGTGCGCATGCGCGCACGCCGGCATTACTGAGGTTGACGCCAGGGCGTTCACACTGAACTACATCCCCAGCCCTATCTATTTTAAAATTTTGAGACAAAAATCTCACTCGATTTCTCAGGCTGGACTTGAACTTGTGATAGGCTCAAATTGAATCTTGTTGCCCTTGAACCCTTTCTGGTTTACTAATCCCCTTGCTCCTAATCCTCATGCTCCAGGGAAGCATGGGGCCTGGATTCCTGAAGGTAGTGCTTGAGAAAGTAGAGTGGGCACTTGATTTTTCTCATCCACTTGGGCTTTCATCCAGGACTGTAGGCCACGGGCGCTGTTAGAAGTGTGTTCCCGCCACAAGGGCTCCCAGACAGGAGTCTGATTACTCCCCAGAGCGCGGAGCACCTCGTCGGGGTTCTAAGCTTCTGCTACTTTGGTGGCTTGAGAGGTGTTTTGCCCTCTAAGTGGAAGGGGACCTGATGCCCATGAGACATGAGTGCACATGCTCTGTAATTCTAAGCCCATGCTGTGCTAGAAGTTGTTGGGAAACCTAAGGCTTGGTTTTTTACAAAGGTGGCTTGAGTGGAAACTTCATGTCACAGGGGCCTTCGGGCCATCTATAGTAAAAATCTCATACAGAAATGTTCTAGAAGCTATGGGAGGCGTGGCACACCTTTTAAACTCTCAGGTGTCAGGGGACTTAAGGTACCATCCTACTGACACCAGCGGGGCAGGGGACTTCATTTCTCAGGAATCCCTGGGCAGCCTCGCTCCAGGTTCTTAAGCCTACGATACCCCAGGGACTTCTGGGAGCTGTAGTCCATGCAGCCGCCCGCCCCCCCCGCCCCCCTCAGGCGCTGGCTCAGCGGGAGGACATGGAGGAGCGGATCACTACGCTGGAGAAGCGCTACCTGAGCGCCCAGCGCGAGGCCACGTCTCTGCACGATGCCAACGACAAGCTGGAGAACGAACTAGCCAGCAAGGAGTCGCTGTACCGGCAGGTGAGTGCTACCCTGTACCCCACCCCACGCTCACGAGGGGTGATGTGGGTGAGACTCTGTCCACGTGACTTCGCCCTTTCCATTCCTCTGCCTGTCCCTGCCCCAGAGTGAGGAGAAGAGCCGGCAGTTGGCCGAGTGGCTGGACGATGCCAAGCAGAAGCTGCAGCAGACACTGCAGAAGGCCGAGACCCTGCCTGAAATAGAGGCGCAGTTGGCCCAGCGAGTAGCCGCGCTCAACAAGGTGCCCGGAGGCTGCGTGGGGCGGGGCCTAGAGGAGGCGGGGCCCTGAATCCGGTGGGGTAGAAGGGGACCCCGAGGCCCCTCGGCTAAAGGAAAAGGACTTGGCATGGGGTAGGTCCTAGGGGTTTAAGGAGGGGGGACTGCCTGCTCTAGTCTGAACTGAAAGGATAAATGGTCTAGAGCTAGGTGTTGTGACGCACGCCTGCAATCCCTCTACTCTGGGAGGCTGAGTCAGGAGGAGTCCAAGTTTGAGCCAAGCCTGCGCAATGTCGCAAACACTTGTCTCAAAATAGAAAAAAAAAAAAAAAAAAAAAGACAGGAAGGAAGAGAGGAAGAAAGAAAGAAAGAAATTAAAAGAGCTGGGTATGTAGCTCAGTGCAGAGACCCTGGGGTTCTATCCTCAGTATGGCTTGCAACCTGAGGTAAGTGGAACAGGTCTTGAGAAAATTAGGTGGAAAATGGACTGGGCGGAGCCTGAATGGCAAGGGAGGGGCCTGGAGCCCGGTGGGTGGGACCTTGCCCCCAGCCTGGTGAGGCACAGTCAGAGGCCGTGGGTTTTGTCTGCTAGGCTGAGGAACGTCACGGGAATTTTGAAGAGCGTCTTCGGCAGCTGGAGGCCCAGTTGGAGGAGAAGAACCAGGAGCTGCAGCGGGTGAGGGGACTGAGGACTGCAGGGATGGGGCTTGGGCCTGGGTGCGGTTTAGGCGAGCGGGCAGGGCTGGGCGCAGTGGGCAGGACCAGTCAGTGCGCTGCGAAAGGCCATTCTTTTCTTTGCGCAGGCGCGGCAGCGGGAAAAGATGAACGACGACCACAATAAGCGGCTGTCGGAGACGGTTGACAAGCTGCTGAGCGAGTCCAATGAGCGGCTGCAACTGCACCTCAAGGAGCGCATGGGGGCGCTGGAGGAAAAGGTGTGCCCCGCACAGACATTCCCTAGATCCGTTATCTGAGATCTACCTAAACCCGGACTCTTGCATTCCAGTCTGCTCTGTTGCTGGGATCCCTTTTTCTCATCATCTAAACATCCAAGAGCTGATTTCTAGGGGCGTCCATACCCCGAGCCCTTGGCTTTTCCCAAAGCCCCAAACCGTATGGACTCTTCAACCTTGAATCCTTGGATATCACAAAGACATCAAATCCTGGGCTCCCGGGATTCGCTCCCCAATCCTCACTCTATGCCCCCACTCCCCTGGCGCCCCCACCCCGCGGTGCACTGGTGGCCCCGTGCGCTGGTGGCCGCAGAGCGTGCCGGGGCTGAGCCCCTTCCAGCCTCGCTCTCACTCCCGCCCTGTCCCCGCAGAACTCGCTGAGTGAGGAGATTGCCAACATGAAGAAGCTGCAGGATGAGCTGCTGCTGAACAAGGTGGGGCCTGGGGCGGGCGGGGATCAGCCAGGCTGGAAGTAGTAGTCCTGGGCAGGGCAGGTTCTGACCCGGCGCGCTGCTACCAACCCCTTCCCCAGGAGCAGCTCTTGGCTGAGATGGAGCGAATGCAGATGGAAATCGACCAGCTTCGGGGGAGGCCACCTTCCTCCTACTCTCGGTGACAGCAGCCCCGTGTCCCCTCTGGTCAAGCTCATCTTTTCTGATCCCTACTCACTGTCCTCCAGAGACTCCCACACATCCCTCTTATCTTTGACCTTAGATTCATGACCCTTGTGCCTAGGCCTGTCCCTGTGACCCCTGACCGCCCTCCCTACGCCCACAGGTCTCTCCCTGGCAGTGCCCTGGAGCTCCGTTACTCTCAGGCACCCACGTTACCTTCTGGTGGCCCCCTGGACCCGTATGGGGCTGGCAGTGGCCGGGCAGGCAAGAGGGGCCGCTGGTCGGGGGTGAAAGACGAGCCCACCAAGGTCAGCAGCCACCTCTGGGCCCGGGACTGAGCGGTGCTTGGGCGGACAGCGGTGGGGAATGGAGGCCTCTCCAGGGGGTTCAGAGAGGAGCAAGGTTGAGAGCCAGGGTCTCCTGGACTCACCCCTCCCCTCTTCTCCCTTCTCTACTCTTCTGCAACTGCATCTTCCCCACCCACCTGCTGCTTCCCCGTGTGAACGTCCTGGCATGCGGTGAGCACCTGAAGGAGAAGAGCTGGGGGCAAGGAAATAGGCCTGGGGGAGGGGCCAAGTCATGCCTGTGGGAGGGGCTTGGAGAGTTGGGGGCGTGGTTGAGAGCGATCCGTCATGCAAATAAGCTCTGCTGGGAGACACCAGGGCAGGGCAGGATTGGTGAGTGAAGACCCAGTGCCAGCCATGGCCCTGACCTACCTTGCATCCTTCTGTCCCCACACAGACAGGACTGGGAGCGCTCCACACCTGCTGGGTCCATGCCACCCCCATTCCCCGGGGAGCTGGATGGCTCGGATGAGGAAGAGGCAGAAGGCATGTTCGGCGCAGAGCTGCTGTCGCCCAGCGGTCAGGCTGATGTGCAGACGCTGGCCATCATGCTCCAAGAGCAGCTGGAAGCCATCAACAAGGAGATCAAGTGAGCCCTCGTCTAGCCCCACCACGCCCTGCCTGACCCCACAGCTGGGCCAGAGCCAGTTTCTTTCCCCTCCATCCTCAAGGAATTCTGTCAGCAAAGCTTTCCTTCCGGTGTCCAGGAATCCCCTGCAGTGCATCCAGAAGTCTCAGGCAGTTCTCACAATTTCCAGGCACATCAGAGACTGCATTCCAAAATACCTCTGTTGGGCTGGGGTGCAGCTGCTCAGCGGCAGAGTACTTGCTGGGCAGGCATGAAGCCCTGGGTTCCATCCCCAGTATCACAAAAACAAAACAAGCACAATTTTCAACTCAGTACATCAAGATCTTCAGTTGGATTTCATGGCTTCATCTAACCAGCACCCCAGAATCTCCCAGGAACCTCAGGATCTCAGTACAACAAGGTCCCCTGATCTTGTGACCTTGCTCTTGCAGCTTCCTGGAACATTCTCTCCCTCTCTACCATTTTTTTTAGAGGCAGGGTCTTGTTATGCAGTTCAGGCTGACCTTGAACTCACTGTGTAGCCCAGGCTGGCCTTGAACTTGCGGCCATCCTGCCTCAGCCTCCTGAGTGCTGGGGTTACAGGTATCTTGTACCGGCTGGAACGTTCTCTCTTGCCCATGGTTGTCTTTTTATGATTTTCCAGAACTACGTATGTAGTTACGCTCAGGGTCAGCCCGATGCAGCTCTCACACTTCTGACTTCCTGAGAGCATCATGCCTGCTTGGCTCCCCTTGAACGCGGGAGGCCCTGCGGAATCCACCATAGCCTAGACTTCCTGCCCCTTCCCTGGAGTTCTCCTTCCCCCCAACGCCTTCCCAGCCATGGTGATCCCGGGCTCCCTCTCACCTGGTTTCTCCTGTTTCCCTCCCCAGGCTAATCCAAGAGGAGAAAGAGACGACAGAACAGAGGGCAGAGGAGCTGGAGAGCCGAGTGTCTAGCTCGGGCCTGGACTCCCTGGGCCGCTACCGCAGCAGCTGCTCCCTGCCCCCCTCCCTCACCACCTCGACCCTCGCCAGCCCCTCCCCCCCCAGCTCTGGCCATTCCACTCCCCGCCTGGCGCCGCCCAGCCCTGCCCGAGAGGGCACCGACAAGGCGGTGAGTGCTCCCCACCTCCACAGCCGGCCGAGCGGGTGGGGAGAGGCCAGAAGCAGGGGTTCCCGACAGACAGCAGCAACAGCCCCCGACACCGACACAGACACCGCTGTTTCTAAGGCTCGCTTAGCTTTCCCGGAAGTTCCAACTCAGAGGACAAAGGGAGGTTGAGACGCTGGTTTCCGGCACACACCCGTTCCACTTTTCCCTGTCTCCTGCCTCTAGATTCTGCATAGCACTTTTTTTTTTTTTTTTCCCGGAGATGGAAGTCTGGCAGTGTTGTCCAGTCTTGTGCTAGTCTTGAACTCATGAACTTGAGAAATCCTCCTGCCTTAGCCTCCTGAGTAGCTGGAACTAGGAAACTGTGTTATGTCCAGCTACACAGGATTTTTTTTTTTAATGCTACTTTAACAAAACATACTCCTGAGAACTACAATGAGAGCTTCGAAACTGAGCTTAGAGAGAGGCAAAGAGGCATTATTATGATTTGCCTAGGGGCTGGAGATTCAGCTCAGCGGCACAGCGCCTGCCTGGCAAGCGTGAGGTATTGAGTTCGATTCCTGGTACCAGAAAAAAAAAACAAAAAACAAACAAACAAAAAAAGATTTGTCTGAACCTAGCTTTTCTGATTGGAGGACCTATAACTCATTAGCTTTGAGGCCCAGCATATCTCACCCCTGAGCCCAAAAGCAAAGCTACTATAAATATGAGCTTCTCAAGCACCCGGGGAACTGCAGCCTATGACTTTATGGCCCCCCTCTTAATCTGGGCTACTTTCTTCTCCTTCTCCTTCTCCTTCTCCTTCTGCTTCTCCTTCTCCTTCTGCTTCTGCTTCT